TTAGAAAGGATCCAAGGCTTTTGCTGAAACCTTTGAGCAACTTGGATTTGGCATTTGCTATTAGTATTACCGCATACCAGTCCCCCTGGCTTATCCGGGGACATTGCACGTTTACACTGTGTAACAACAGAGCTTGTTTAAGTGTGAGGACGACAAACGGCAGCTAAGAGTTTGGCTTTGCCCGGACTGGCATTGAAGGAATGAGTGCAAGGAGCAGGAACAGAGCATTCTTAGCAATCTAACTTTTTCTCTCTGCTTTAATGGAACTTGTGCTACGAAAATGGAGACATACATAATTGGTGGTGACTGTAGGGCTGTTTTCAGAAAGGAAAACATTTAACACATAACCAGTGACCGGTCTGCACAATTCAGGATCAGGACTTTGACTTAAGTCAGAGCGGACATTTTCACACAAACGGCCTCTCTGCCGCAGAGGGGAAATGCCGCCGTGTGACTTGTTGGTCAGTCTGTGCAGCGATGCAGTGTCTCCTGTATCTAGATAGTCTCTGCTCACCGAGCCAATTCCCCTGTGCCTCCCTTCGTTAGCTCACGCTTACACATGCATCCACACAAGCCCCCGTCCTCCTCATTACATAGCAGGAAGAGAGCAGCTCAATAGCACAGCTGTCGTGACATCACGTTTGCAGGCCTGCTATCATCTGCATTGTCTGCCACAGAGAGGCCAGCTGTGTTTTGACTTCCCCTGTGCCATCGCTGTACCCACTAATCTACAACTCTATTCCAAGCCATTTCAAATGCACTTTACCAAAAGAAATCCTATGCAACAACAGGAGACATTTATAAATTCTCCATGAACACAAATGAATGGTGTGGAGTTTTAAAATTAACCCTACAATTCAGCAGAATAGGTGTCTTCCAGGCAACATTCAAAGGGCTGCTAAATCTCCAAATAAGATGGGTGAGGAACTATCTGTCCTGATAGCGCTTGCAGACATGTGAAATATCCAAGTGCAAATAAAGCCGGCGCCCAGCACATTTTTGTCCTGGAGCAATGACACCAGCAGTGGCTCAGGTGTTTGTGTACCAAGCGTAAAACGCCTTGAGCTGTTCACACACTGAGGCTGCATTAAAGCCTGTAAACATGTTCATGCGCACCAGCAAACGCACAAGGAGCCAAACAGGTCCTAATCCACACATGCATGCTGGCGTCAGGTCTAAAAATAAACCCTGCGCTCCCACAGGTTCAGCTCCTCTCATTACTTTACAAGGGAAAACTGTCGTATCCAAGACAACCACGAGGAGCTCACAGCCTTTTTTCCCCGGCGCTTTGCCATGGCAACTAGGGAAAATGCGTAAAATAATAATAAGTTGGAGCTAAAACTGGGTCTTTTAAGCGGTCTGAGCAGCACTTTAACATCGAGTTGTTCTTAAACAGAGGAAACATTTTAAATCAACATCACTTTCTACATCTGGGGGACAAGCGAAAGCATGTTTCAACCCCAATACATATTTAATGTCCTGTGGCTCATTAAGAAAACGCTATTAATTGAATGGGAGTAAAAATGTAGGTGCAAACATAAGGGTGCAACTCTAAAGCATCATCACTAGCTGCATGGAATGAAATGTGACTGATCGGAGAAATTCCCTGAAAGCTTTAGTGGCAAAACAAAGCAAGACAAAATATTGACATGTCATTTTCTTTCTTCTAAAATGACTTCTCATTTGACAATCAATTTCTTTTACAGTATTCATACAGAACACATTTTTAAAATAACAGTGCAAGTTTTGGGGATCTGTCATCAAACATTGCGACAGAAAACATCAGTATGTTCATTCATCTCTGCTGTCAAACTCGATCCGATGCTAAACTCTTGGTGAACAAAAAGAAATGGGAGCAATCCATTTTGCTGTGGCCTTTGGAATAACACTCACATCTAAGACGCTACAAATGTCTGTGCAGATCAAAGGAGTGTGTGGAGACGTTTGCTTAAAAGATGCTGCATGCCTGAATGGCTTTTGAAATCAACGTGCTCTGCTTGGCATACATATTAATGCACACTGCTTTAAACTGGAAAATAACTTTATCTTAAAGGGGCTTTGAGAAATCTAATGATAGAATATGAACCATTAGCGAACAGCTTTGGGTCATCTCTTTGACTTTGGCCTTGAGAAACTCAAACAACTCAGACAGTTTGTCATTTTGAATTTGTTGTCTTCACACTGCCGTACTAACAATCAAACATTCTGTTTAAAAAAACAGCTAGAGAACCATTTCTAACCATCACTTTATGCCAGCTGAGAACAGGAACATGGTGGTATCTCCATCCCCCTCGTGATGCGGGTCATCCTTTCCCCTCTGAGGCTTCAGACTGTAATTACACTTAAATGTCATGTCTGTATCACTTCAGAGGTGAAGAGACTGAGTCAAAGACCGTGAGCCATCCAGGGGCCGCGTTAAACGGTCACCACCCCGCCTGGACTCTTTTTGCTCCTTTGTTTCTGATCTAGCATTTAAAGCTGAACGATAAGCATAAATCTTAGTGTTTCAAGGTGAAAAAAGGTGTTTACAGTGTAAATGTCACAAAATCCAGAGGTGTATTCCGAGTTTGATAGTAACGCGTCCAGTTGTACTCAAAACATCCGAGTCTGTACAAGCCAACAGTGCTATCAGAGGAGCAGTGTCAGAAGGATGGCCTAAATATTACAGTAAACAATACCAAACGTTGTTCAAAGTGAACACAAAGTATATGCAGGCTTCACTTTCACACATTTGATTCTTAACATGGAGGTTCGGTATTAAAAGATTGAACACTATCACCGTCAGGCCCCGAGGATGTTCCTATTAAAGAGGTCTTTGACTCACCTCTTGGGTCAAACAGGATCTGCTCAGGAGTCACACAGCGATTGCTCTTTGAGTCTTTCTGCATGCGTGACCACCATCAAAAGGACTGCAATAATTAAAAGTGCATTACTTTGGGGGTTATAGCTATTTGTCAGTTTGACATCCTGCTCCTTTTTCTGTCCTGGTCTGATCCAATTTAATGTGCCGTTGAAAATGTATACAAATCTTCAAAAGGGGGAAGCTTTGTGCGAAGAGCCCAATTTCAAAGTCTTAGTCAAAGCAGGGTTCACAAATCGTTAACAAAGACCACCAGCAGAAATGTTTCTGTTGAGGTAAAAACCGCAGAAGCTCGTCTTGTACTTGGGCTCCAAAACTGTCAAAAGCACCAGATTAAATGGTGGATGTCTCACTTCCAATAAAGAAACTGAAAGGGAAGGCAAATGTTTACTTAACCACAGAGGGGCTTGAAATGAGACCCATGAGGTTGTGTTTTAACATTACAATCCAATGAGAGGCAACTTCATTTTGTTTATATGGTGTTAAATAGTTTTTTTTTTAGGAAACAAATTGATTCTTAAAAGAACAGTGATCTCTAAGGACTCATTTGTCATCCTTCAATGACTACATCAGTGGATTAATACAGACAAACTATCACTAGGACAAATGTGAGAGAGGGAGATAGGGAAAACAAATGTCAATTCTTTCAGAAAATGTCCCTGTTTTTTAAACAGTTTTTATCCAAAGCAACTTTCAATAACACAAGTTAAGGATATATTTGGGCGACTCGGGGTTCGGTGTCTTGCCCAAAGCAATTCCACATGAAGCCTGCCCTCAAACCAACCAATTGTAACTGCCCTGGAGGAACTCCATTAAACCCCTGAATCATTATCAATTATCATAATCATTACAATTTATCATTATCAATAATTCTTTGTATGTGAAATAAGTGAAAAGCTTTAAGTTTTATCTTTATCTTCATTTTGAAGGATTTAAATTACTGTTTTGTTTTGATGACTAACTGTAAACTGGCCAGAGAAAGCACAGAAATTTCATTTTAATGGCATATTCTTGACTATCTGATGAAATGTCAATTCATAAAATGTTTGCTCATGTTTTATTTCTTACCTTGTTTCTCTCTCCCCTTTTTGTTTAAAACCCTAACATATTCTGTGGAAGTGAAAGAAAACACTTCTTGCCCTAAACATCAGCACCTCTCTTCCAACATCTGTGTACCGTCTTCCACTCTCTGGGCATGCGCAGCAGCACCGAACAGGTGCATCACGTTCGTCTTTGTTATCCACATCCAAACATTTAAATGGGAAACAGGCAAACTTTACCTCTGACTGTCGACGCAGACAGTTGCGCAGGTGGAAATAGCCCGAGGCCGGTTCGGCTGGCTTGGCTTTTTCTTGTTTTGTTTTTTAAATGATCAAAACGCACGAGCTCGGCGTACAGTGAGTTCTCTCGTGCAAAATGACAGTGACGTCGCGATGTGGACTTCAGCTCTAGTAACGAGTGTTTCCCTATTAGGGACTTCGGGGTTGGCGGAGCAGTTCGGTGTGTGTTTTCTGCCTCCGAGCGCAGCCCAGATGAAAACCCAGTTAATTGGAGTGCTAATTAGCCACCTGGAGAGCGAAGGCGGAATAAACCTGAGCGCGAGGCTTTTGCTTCGGGGGTTACGTTCGAGTTGTTTGGCTCGAAATTAAACGAAACCGTCGCGGTGCTCACCTGCCCCCGGTCACCTCTCGGACGGCTCCTGTCCTCTTTCCCTTCCCGGACGCTGCGAGTCTGAGGTGTCGGCACCGGCCGCCTATCGGTCTCCCTCGTTGTGCACAGCCACTTTCGCAGCCCACACGCACGCGGCTATCTTTACCCCCCCCCGTCTAAAACACCCCGCGCGCTGCTACAAACGTATCCACGGACCGGAAAAGCCCGCTGACTGGATGCAGCGCGCGCAGGGACGTTTTCTCAACCCCCCCCCCCAAAAAAAACAAAGACGTTCAGGAGGACTCTCCGACACCAAATGCGTCTTTTTTTTTTTGGGTCTCGCGCCTTCGCGTGGAGTTGAGGCTCGTCTGCTGGCGTCTAGGAGCGAGCCCAACTCGCACGTGCGCGCATGGTGGGAACGTGGTGATATCTAGCGGCGGGAAGCGTTGCTGCAGCTCCCGACAAATATCACGACTAATGACAAAAAACATTTTGTTTTTTTTAAATTCCACTCAGATCTTTATTGTAAAGAGATTGTTACTGATACAAATTATTTACAATTTTTTGGGGGGGATGTGGAGGGAGAAGGAACAAATTACATGTAGTTATTGGTTGTAGCAGACAAATAGAAAAGGGTTTTGCATGCACATTAAATAATTAAATCAAGGGTTAGTCCAATATCCAGTGCAGGGCATCTCTTGAGAATGGTTTTGATTGGCGATGGACACTAGGATGAGGGGAGTCGAAAGGTCGGTGGGGTGGACACTGGACTGCTTCACCACTGATCAACATAGTCAGGGCTGTAAGCGGAGGGAAAAAACCATCAGAAACAAACGCGATGGCCTTATATGTGGTGTGAGTTCATGTGAAAATGTGATGAATGAAAAGATCGACAGATCTGCACTTTGAGTGCTAAAATAGCTGTTTGATGTTATATCAATCAAGCTCAGGGCCCTTCAAAAATGAAGGGCCCTCTATTATTTGTAATGACAAATCATTCACTCGTATTGATTAATGATGCTCAAATCAATGCTCATATTGTGGATTACAGTGGAAAGCACATGGCTGCCACTCACACCCTTCCTGTTTCGATTGCATACTTGCTTGTAGTACAAGAACTTGCGGTAACACCAGTGTGACTGGCCCGATTATGTCATCCTTAAAGAGCAGTTTGCCCCCTGATCAATGGTCAGTATTTGTTTTGAAGCCTATGGTCAGCCTATGGTGAGAACCCCGGACACGTGTGCTCATGTGCTCTCACCGTGGCTCAGCATCTTGGTTGGAGTCTGCCCCAAACAGCAGCCAGGCCATCGCCTGCTCCGGGGACGATCTCTTCCCATACCTGTGGAAAAAAATAAAAGCCCCTGTTTGAACGGCTGCAAACAAACCCCACTGACAGAGTCTCCGGCCGGCTTTTTCTGCTTTACAGGAGGCTCAGGTGAGACCCCATCAGCCCTGTAGGAGTCTCAACTGTGCGAAAGTTGTTGATTTTTATCCCCAGGGATCATCCAGCTCTCAAAGCAGGCTAACCACGTCCCCCCCCCCCCGTCGAGGCTTTGTGCTTTTTCCTTCCAATCTCGGCGCCAGAATCACAAATCAAATGTGCAATTATTGGGAAAAAGGGGACTTTCAAGTCCACTACCTGGAGGCCAGCACAGCAATCACAGCGCCCTCCTCCAAATGAGTTTTTTGACAGATTTACTTTTTACTGAAGCGTATAGCTGCCCCACTTTGAAGCACCGGGCGCTGAAATGGGAGGCAATGACAGATCCAGTTAGTTTAATTAAAAGGAGGAGAGTTAACAGCGAGACTACCCTGCACGGGAGAATGACCCAACCTCGGCGCTTTGGGAAACTACTATCTCTCTTCACCCAGCAAGAAGCAGAGAGAAATGTCATGCAGCTAAACTGCAAGCTCCTGGCCGGTTCCAGGCCAGGGTGAGACACACTGAGTAAGATGTCTAAAGATTTTTCAAACTGTGTGCGCATTACCTCACAACAGAAAGAAAGGGCACTGTTTAAGTTTCAGAATTGTCTTGTGTGGAAATGTTCAGCAACTTTTATGAAGTTATCAGAGTCACGCCACAGCAGGAGGCCACCATACTCCATATGGCCATCATTGCAAACTCGTCCTTGAGCCTCAGGCTTTAATCCCTCACACCCAGAGAAGGTATAACCTCTGAGCCAACCGGAGCATTCAAAAACTCAGAGTTACAGCAGGTATTCATTTCTTTGCCATTATTTTTCTATTTTGCCAAGTTAACTATTTGGAAAATAATCATAGCAGATACAAATCTCATTTGTTTCCAACACTGAATGGCAATGAAAAGTGCACCTATATAGTTTAGTTTTTCTAGATGAAATAAACAGTGGGAGCAAAAGACAGAGAGAGTTCAGACTGACTTAAGGGAACGTTTCTGGCTCACCTCTGTCTGGTAATGAGGTTGACATAATGCCTGACAGCTGCGTGGTATTTGGCCCACTCCTCCGGTGAGGCGTTGCTCCCGGGGCTCTCGGGCTTGGGGGGGTAGGCGTCCGCCAAACTGCTCAAACACACCAGAAGGCAAACGACGAGCGCCGCGCACATCACCCACGATCTCAGCATTCTGGCCATCTGGGGAGAGAGGAGCAACACTTTATTCTTTGAAGAATCATGACAAAAATGAAAAAAAGTTCATGTATATTTTCATTTGAAAGAACAAGAAACACAATTTCGTGCCATACGTGCAAATGTGATGTTAGATTATGCGCTGCGTAAAATTCTCCAAGTAAAAAGTTTTAAAAAGAAATGGAAAAAAACGCTTTTCTACCACCTTTCAGAAAGAGAGTCAGAGGACTTACTGTTTTACTTGCTTCCTGATGCTTTCACCTCAGTGGTGTCTTGGTTTTCTCCACTCAGTTTGCAGGGTTTTTATAGAGGATGGATACCTGATGCGCACTGAGTAACCCTTAACCACACCCCTCCGTGTTTGGTCCAGCGAGTAAACGGCCGCTGACGTCCACACACGAGCTCGTGAACGCGCTCAGATCTTCATTTACAGCAGAGTAGATTTTAGTTTGGATTATTTCAAATGACTTACATGAACTGAATTGGCTTTTTATTAACCCTTTAAAGTCTGATCCAAGAGGAAATAGTGAGAAAATGATCATCATTGTTCGTCTGAAGTCTTTTTTTGACCTTAGGTCAAACTCTCCAGCATTTGACAAAATATGAGAAAAACAGAAAAGATAATTGTTAGTGATTACCATGTGATTAGTAAAAATGACTGTTGTGTAGTCTTCTGTCTGCTGTTATCAGATTTACCTGATGCATACAACAGGGTTTTGGCAAAGTTTTTAACCGTTAAATGATGCAAAAGGTCTCAGATACTAAACATTTCAGAAATCGTATCAAATATGATCCATTTGGCATTCTAAGGTTCAAATGAGAAAATACATTTTTTTCCTCCCTTTTTTGATTAATGGTGTGCATATTCTTGCTTCAGAACTGAAAAACAACACAGGACTGATTTATTCATTCAAATATATTGCTGAGCCTGAGAGGGGAAATAAAGGAAGAAGAAAGAGGAGGGAAAAAGCCCAACAGTATTAGTTGTTGTGTCAGCACCACGGACAGAGCCCCGAGAACGAGCACATACTTGCCACTGAACGCCTCTTGGGGTCGGGGTCCTGGTGTAGTTTAAGGGCAGCTGCTGTCGGCCTCATGTCTCCTTCACATGGCGGTCATTCACTCATCAGGCTTTCAAAATGAAACAACTGTCTAAATTCTACATTACATTTGGAATCTTTAATCACTGCGGCATTTAGTATTTTTCAGACTATGTGCTTTATAAATAAGACATGATATAAAACATCTCTAACGTGGGCCTTAGGCGTGAATACAAAAAAGAAAGTAGAGAGTCACCCAAACAGTTGAGAAATAAACAAAGACTCTAAGTAATAATTGCTCCGAATAGATGAGAAAAAGCAAAGAAACTGTGAGCAGATCCGGAGCTACTGAGCTGGAAAACTCTTTTCATCCAGGTATTTAGGCCATGCTTTCACACTTCAAAATACACTAGAGTTGGCAAGGTTTTCATTTTGAAGCTTGAAGAGGACATTTGTAAAAATTGGATTAAATTAAATGTATTGAACGGTTATTATGAAACGTGTGTGTGTGTGTATGTGTGTGTGGTCAAATTCTGGACGGGTGATTGATGGCACTTGGCTGATATGAGGGCTCTCACAAAGACATTTTGTACCCAAATGCCTCCCAGCTATGAGGTGGACAGACTCGCTTTGATGTAATTGGTCACTTTTATGACCCCCACAGTAGCTCCTGTTTATCTTGGCTCTTCACGGTCTACTGTTCAGTTCATGAAGCCTGAAAGCATCCCTTATCCAACAAGTGTAAGTGCAATCGCTTTTTGGTGTGTGCGATTGTGTTTGTTGAGCAAACAGGATGTGCTGCTCATGTAATACTGAAATGTAAAACTTGATGTTATATTTTCTGTATGACTCTGATTGATTTCTTACATGAACGTTTTTGGGTCCCTTTCACCATGTATCAATTTATTTATAATTCATTCATTTTAAGATGAAAAACCCAGAACAACCTGCCACTCAGACAGAGGTGTATTGGTCAGCAGGTCTGAGTTCTGGTAACTGTGAGCTTTGAATACAGTTTACGTCCATCAACAGTATCCATTCAGTCCCAAAGTGCTCATTTGAGCTTCAAACAAAACCCAATTCCACTCCAAACTTCCCATAATGAAAGGCACAAACTCCAAAACATCTGGAAAAAAGATGGGCAAGATAAGACAAAAGAAAAGATTTAGTGAAAACCAAATTCAGCATCTGAAAAACAAACATATCAAAGCGGCTGTCAGACCTGACAGAGAGAGAGAGGTGATGATGTGCACCAAAGTGTTCTGGAGACAAAACCGAGGCTCTCTGACAGTTAAAGCTGGGCTGAATGTGAGTCATGGAACCAAACAATGTCCCCGAGCACAGCAGGGCCTTATATTGTCTTTGGATTAATGAATGCCCGCAAACCTCAACGAATTGAATTGAGAGTTGTGAAGAAAAGTTATCCAAAAAGAATAGTGACACTGAAATAAATATATATATATAAATATATATATGTAGTAATACTGAAAGGAAAAATAGGGACACAAGGGCCTCTGTATTCATTAAGCTGTCTGCGTCTGGTAAAGAACATCCACTCCATAACTCAAGTCTATCATTTCAAAGCAAAAGGATCCTGGTTCAAATCCTACTTTTAGTGTGGATTTTGCATGTTCCTCTTTCTACTCTCCAAGCCATCCACGTTAGCTGAACAGGTGAATCTACACGGTCTTGGTGAGGGAATGGGGAATGAGTATTGTCTTCGTGTCCATGTTGGCCCTGTGCTGGCAACCCATAGGTGTGTACCCCGCCTCTCACCCGTTAATAGCTGGGATAAGGCCCCAGCCCATCAAACTGGACTGAGTAGGTATAGAAAATGGACGGATGGGTGATATCTTTGGATCAAGAAGGTTATATATCTTCATCTAGGGCTCCTCTGGCTGTCATTCCCTTCAGGATGTGATCAAACTGCAGCCATAAATGGGCCAGCGTGAAAACAATTGGCACAAAAACGGCTCTGACTTTGTTGGAAGTTTTTCTTTTCCGCCCACGGCACCCAACAGCCTGTAGAACGTGCAGTTGGAAATCTCTTGGACATCGAAGCATGGCTGATGTTCTTTGCTTTATCGCATGAATCGATGAACTCTTGGGTTTACGTGGAACGTCAGGGGAGGGGCGGCTGTCGCCCTGTGGGCCTCCCAAAGGGGAGTCAGGACAATCCTTTCACAGGCTTTTTATGGAGTCGTAAAAAAACAATGCTTTTGTCCGTGTCCCGGCCTAAACCCTTGTCAAAAACAAACCTTGATTTGAGCGTAAATCCCAGCCGGCAGCCTCTGCGGAGCTTAGGCCAAAAATGCCAGCAATTAAAGGTAATAGGAGAATGCCTTAAAGGCTGGAGGCGGATTGCGGTACTTCAGATTGATTGGATTGACCATTGCTGAGAGAAATGTGTCATAATTCAAGCAGGAGTGTCAGGACGCTCAGCGTTTGGACTATTTGTGCCCGGCGATGCTCAAATGGCCGCGCAAAAGACAGAAAATGGAAACTGTGAGAAAAACCGTGGTGTCTTAAAAAGTTAAATAAGTAAGAGATAGTTGCTGAGAAGCCACAAGTCTCTTAGTCAAGGAAAACGGTCTTTGCGATCTTGGCTGGAATCACCCACAGATAGCAGCGGCCACCCTGAACATTGGGTTCATTCCCTCACATCGACCCCTGTCTCTGAGCAGGCCGTAAAAGTCAATGGCAAGAAACAACAACATGCACAGGGCAAACTCATTAGCTTACCCCAGTGCTTATGGGTAAACGGTGTAAACCTAACAGTCCCCTGATAAGGAAAAGGCCAGGCACTTTAAGTCGTCACAGTCCAATAAACTCCAGTTAATGCACTCCTGAAGAGCCATTTAGGCCGGCGCATGCCGGAGAGTTTGACCCAGTCATCAAGTCCAAGATAATAGGACTAGTGGGATGCCACTGATTATCAGAACTTTTCCCTTTTGTTCAGTTTTGCCAACTTTTCCTGGCGCCGCTCACGTCTGTGACTGCATTAGGTAACACAAAGAGGATTTACATAACATTATTATCCAAAAGGTAATGGCTTCAACAAATCCTAATGCCTAAAATCCACTTTCTGTAGGCATCTACCTGTGCTCCATCAATAAAGCCGTAGCTTTGAGAGATTTTTCTACAGGACGTCTGTTCTCACTTTAGATGAGAATCCATTTTCACTGGCATCAGTCATGCCGGCGAGCACAAATAGAAAAAAAACGATGCGCACATATACACACACACACACACATGCTCAGAGGTCCATTCGAGTGGAGGAGCAATCTCTCAGGAGAATGTCTGACTCCTTCCTGCCATCACAGACAGAAAATGGGGGAAATGATTATGCACTCTTTATTGGGCCTTATCTCCTGTGGGGGAGCCGTTAATATGAGCAGAGTGCTTTTGGCTCTGTTTGCGCAGCGCGCGACACAGAAGCACGCGTTGATTTCCAGCCGCTGGCGCACCGCCATCACTAACGAGCACAGAAATGGCTTCACAGGAGACCATCAAGTGATGGTCAGCCCGCAACCTGGAGAGCACCTGTACCTTTCACATCACGGAGCCTTTCAGGCGGTGGTTAGGGCGAAAGAAGAAGTTTGCCGTTTGGTTTAATTCTGCTTGAAGATAGAGCAAAGCCACTCTTGCACAAAGGCCTCATTAGTCTTTTTTGTTTGTTTTAGGAAGTGACTGACCAATTACAGCAACGTTTCACAAACTGTTGAAGAGCAAGCTGGCAGCGATGCGTTTGATAACTCACACAGGTGACGGAGCAGGGCCTGGTTAGAGGTTGATGTTGTCATCGTGAGGATTTTCTCATATATGCAACATTTTGTGTGTGTGGGTTGGGGGGGCAATAGAAATCTAATCCTCTTAAAATGTGCTTTTCCAGGTGTAAGATGAGACTGTTCTGGGCAGGAGATGAGGCAGGGATGCTGCACAGCATCCCATTAAAAAACTAAGTGAGATCCCACCAGATGTGACTGAGTGGAACTGTGCTTCACAGCAGATTGTAAAACACACCTTTCCCCCACAGCGGGGCGGATTCCGGGCCGCTCGGGGGGACGATTGGACCATTTCTTCGTGAATCAATGGCTCCACCACTCCGGCTGTTCGATCAGAAATAACAGATCAAGGAGAAAAACGCATGGTTTTGGGCAAACACTTTGTATGGCTAGTTAAAGGTTAGTTTTTCTTGTTTTCAGCAAAGACAGCTCCACCTCAGACATAAATCACTTTAATTCCCAGAGGCTTTGAGGTGTGTACGAGCTCCCGTTCATCAGAGGTGCTTCGGCAACATCAGAACACGCGCATAAGCTCCTTCCACTTACCTGATGGATTCACCTGGAGCGTTCCTCTTTCTTTAGTTCTTGGCGGCGCCTCCAGATGGTTTGGAGTCATGTTTGTTGAGCACTGGCTTCCCTTCATCCAGACATCCACATTCTCTCAGATTCTTAAAAAAGTTATTTTCAAAACTTTCACAAAACACCTTTCTTCCAGGTTTTGGATCTATAAGTGTTTGAAACTTCTTCTATAATTAATCCTGACACCCTTACCTTTCACCAGTTACTCAGCAGGAGAATTTTCCAGCTAGGTTTTACTTATTTATCCTTTAAACTTCCTTTAACCTTTCTGTCAAAATCACATCAAACGATACATTTCTTTAAAATAACTAAATACAATGACCTACTTGAGGCACTTTAACTCCTTTTGCTTGGAAACTGTTTTCTTTTCTCTTCTGGAAACGTGGCCTGAACAGAGATGGACCCCATTCATCAAGTTCTAACAAGGACCAAAACTGTTTTATCAGTAATTACATGACAATAAACATCCCATCGGTAATTTGAAAGCAGTGACAGATTGACATGTAGGTGTCCTATCAAATCTCGCTGTCATCACTTTTCCTTTAACGAGAGAGATGAATGGCGTTAATCAGCACACAGGAGCTCAGTCTGGGCATCACTCAGGTCCGACCGGCCCTGCTGGAATAAAGCCGGCTGCCTTCCTGAGTAATTACACTCATCCGTCTCAGTCATAACACCGGAGACCTGATTTATCAAAAGCTTTCAGGCAAGGCACGAAACAAGCTCAATTAAAGTCCCATTTGCCTTTTTTGCTCTCTAACCAAAGATCTTTTCATAAGAGAAGCTAAATCACCATAATACCTCAATGAATAAAATCCAAATATGACCCGGAGTCATTCAAACGGTCTTTTAAAGAACGACAAAGGCTTCAGGTCCAGGAAACGTCACAAAAATGTATCATCCGACAGCATCGTTTTTTTTTTTTAAACAGAAATAGACGAGAACAAAACCAGGACGCAAACTTAAAAGAGGCTCAATCAGAACATGATAACACCAACAACCTCGTTATGAATCTTTAAAAAGAAGGAAAACTAAATCAAACTATACATTCTGATAAAGCCGATACTTCTAACAAACCGACCCGGGTTGGTGACGGTCTCTCCGGGGGGGGCCTAAGTGCCGCCCCCCTCCTTCTCCAGCATGGTCTCCACCATCTTTGGTAAGAAGGCCTCCAGAAAGTGAAAGAAGTCCTGAAAGACGCCCGCCCCGTCGTTGGCGGGCTCCAGCGTGAGCACGGCCTTGGTGCTCTCTGTCCCGCCGGCCATCTGCGCCTGGACCCTGAACTCCAGGGGCTCCTTGAGCTCCGGCTGGCTGTGGGCGATGTGGGCGCTGACCTGGGCCTCCAGCTCCGTGCAGCTTCCCTCTGGCCTGGAGTCCGGGCCTTTGGCCAGCTCCCGCCTCACCTTCCTGCGGCCGGCCCACACCGCGTGCGTCTGGACGCAGCTCCACGACGGCGGGGGCGCCGGCTTCTCCTTCGCCACTCGGGGCCTTTTCCCCGGCGGGGGGGAGGCCTCGCCGCTGGGGGGCGGCGGCCTCTTGGTGCCCGCCGCTACCGCCGGGGGGCTGCTGTCCGGGCCGGCCTCCATCTCTGCCTCCATCTCGGGGTCCTCGCCGTCCTCGGGGGGCGGGCCGTCCGGCGAGGCGAGGAGCCGACACCCGAGGACTGACCCCAGCACCCCCTCCACCGCCCCGCAGACCCTCCGGAACCACAGCGGCCGGAAGCCGTCTCCGGCCGAGCGCAGCTCCCGCCGCAGCGCCTCCGGGAGCGCCGCCGGCCTGAAGGGGATGCTGATGGCGGGCTGCTCCGGCCGGGGGGGCGGCGGCTGGCCCCCCCCGCGGGGCGCCAGGAGGCGCGCCAGCCCCCAGGGCTTGCCCTTGGCCGACTTGCGCTGGTACTGCAGGCTGCGGCAGTACTTGTGGGCCTCCTGGCACTCGCGCTGGAAGCCGCGCTGGCCGCGCTGGCCGCGCTCGCTCAGGTTCCCCGCCACGTTGTGCGAGAGCTCGAAGGGGTCCAGCAGGTTGAGCGGCCCCAGTTTGGGGCCGGCCGGCGCCTCCTCTGGCGCTTTGTCCCGGCCCAGGAACTGCACCACGGGCAGCGCGCGGCCCTCCCGCAGAGAGACCACGCTGCCGGCGAAGTCGAAGTTGGCATAAAAGGAGAAGAAGCCGGCCAGCAGCGAGCCTGGAGGAGACAGAAGAACGGCGTTTGGGTGAGTGAGCGAGAGGGGAGGCGTGGAGGTCTAATGGAGGGGGGGGAGATACTCACAGAGGTCCTGTGTGTTGGTGCTGGGGGGCACGGCGATGGGCTGACTGGGGAAGGTGCAGTTCCAGCCTTCTATCACACAGGCCTCCTCCTCGCCTGCAAAGAGGGCCGATGAGTAACAGCTCCCAGAGAAGAACAGATCGCCTGAGGCCCAATCCAGGGCCCAAAACAGCTGCTGATGCTGTATACGAGGAACCCGTCAACAGAAAGCTTTAAACTGAACAGTACCAAAACACGGGCTGATCCTCCCACACCCCTCAATCCAAAGCTGCAGACTTTCTCTTCCTTCTCCTCTTAGTCCCATCACCCAGGAGCAGATACGAGGAGACGGCGGGAATTTAACAAAAAACAAATACTCTTGGAACCATTTTTCCCTGGGTGCATTTTTAGAACTTAAAATATGAAAATCTTTAGCCGTGAGCAGCAGGCCAGAGGAGGATGGAGACACACTTGAGAGGAGCCTTTTTTTTGGGCTGATCTCTGTGGGCTTCGGGCAGCTGTCACACTGAAAGGCATTTTATTCCTCACATCGCTTCAATTCTGGATGGTCTTTGTGCTCTCTGTCACCGGATGTGTCACATTTTCTCACAGTGGTGTCATCCCTTTCACTCTCTGGATTACAGCAAGAGAAATAAATTAACCCATGACAGGAATAGACTCACAGTGATTTCAAATATAACCGACTCATGAACTAAACAAAGCTGGACCCATCGCTACAACGCACTGGATCACACTTTTCAATCGTTTCCACTTTACTGTAGAAAACATCAATCTTAATTTCCTTTTTTTTCTATTACAGAAAGGTTACATTTCCGCATTTGGAGACTTTACACATCATCTAGTTCAACTTTTTTTTTTTTTCTTACAAACTACTGAAATGGATATTTGGCTTTTGGTCATAGTGTTTCTGAGACGTGGCCGTCTCGCCCGCAGCCGAACGCAGCAGAGTTAAGAGAATCACAAGTTTCCCAAAAGAGACGAAGTATAGCTTCAGAAAAAGAAGAAAAATAAATAATAAAAAATGCTGGCCTGAAACCACAGCAATCGATTCTCAGAGCAGATGTTTGGGCTTCAGGCGGGCCTGCAGTGGGAGCGGGCACGGCCGGAACAACTCATCACTGAGCCGTTGGTGGAGCAGAAAACTACAGAACCTGACGGGGAGGGGGCTCCTCCAGGCAGCACTTACACGCCATGTCTCTGAGCTGGTCCACGGTGGGGAGGACGGGAGGCTGGCAGCGCTGAAGGTAGAAGATGACCAGCAGCGTGAGGGCATAGTTGTTGAGGAGGGGGCCCGCGCCACTGGGGTTACCTACAGGAACACCACAGGAGGGAGCAGCCGTCAGGGGGGGGTGGTGGGTCGTGGGGGTGCAGAGGGGTACGCAGCAAACTGAGCCCCCCTGTTTGTCCGGGGGCCGGAAACGTGTATGTTTTGTTTGTTTGTCACCCCCTTTCCCTTCGAAAGTTAACCAGACAGATTGCAGTTATATTTTGAAGTCAGACAACAATCGTTTTTCTCTGATTACTGGCGTCAGTGATCAAAGCGATGGCTTCCTGACCCCTCCTGTGGATTAAACAGTACCTTTACCTGTAATTTACTCCGTCGCTCTCTTCTAAATCTGCCGGGATGAAAGGTGCAGTGGCGGCATGGAGAAAGTAGTTCAAAGGAAAGGACGCAAGACGCGGCCCAGAGAGAAAGGCAATTAGTGCGCTCTTAACTGAAAAACAGCCTTATTAGGACTTTACCGTTTCTGGAGGGGCGGCCTGCACACAGGGCTGCAATCACTGTAATTACTGACTGTAATAAAGGTTGCTTTTTTACCAAAGCTTTCAAATAAAGTACCAAAACGAAATCAATACCAACAAAAAATGACTGTATTTTTCACAGGCTTTGATCAGGGCAGAGCGTGGTTCTACTGACCTCTGCTGACCAGAGGATGAAAAACAACCCGAAATTAGCAGATTCTATGTCACGCATAAACGATTGGCTGCACCGTACCAGCGAGCTGCTTCTGTTTGGCCCAGTAGCGGATGGTGTACACCAGGGGTCTCAGCCTGTCCTCTATGCCTGAACACAGCTGCAGGAAGCGGGTGTTCCTCACTCCCAACCTGGTGAGGGACACACGCAGAAGGCAGCAACTCACTCACTATGCTGGATGAGCTTCTGAAGCCTATTTTTGCCTGGTAGGGATCCCAGAACCTTCGTCCACCAACCTGTTGTTGATGGTGATGTCCCCCTGCAGGTTAAGCTCCTTATGATGGAACTTGACCACGGGGAGGCGGGCGGTGCTGACCACGTGGACTTTGTGCACACTGGGAACACAGCGTTTCAGGATGGTGGCCACCAGCTCCAGGACCTCCGCCGGCGAGGCCGTGGAGAGGTCGATATCAGACAGGATGGAGTCCTCAGAGCGCCCGTCGTCCGACGTTCCTTCACCCGCCTGGAAAAGAGGCTCATGTTCAATCCTGAGATTTCAAGTGTGGGTTCTAATCCTTAATGTTGTCTAACATAGTCCAAATAACCTTTATAAAAAAATCCGTCATACCTGCTCTGTGGTGGTCTTGGCATGGGCTTGGAACATCCTGGTGTTTTCAAGGTCCAAGAACAGGTCCAGGTCACAGGAGTGGACTCCAAAAGTGTTGACGGATGATCCGAAGGGCAGGATCTGGCTGTCTGCAACAGGTGGAGAAGTGGGACGAGTCTTTGGCGCATTTCTTTAAGAGGATCATGAAAAACGTGCAGCCTTTCTAGATGGGTTCACCAGGAGGTTACCTGGAAAAAATTCCACAAAGACTTCCTGGAGGAGCTGGACCAACAAGCCTCGGGCCTTCTTCTCGTTTTCTCCGAGCTGAAACCGCTCCACTATGTGCTGCACCTGCGCACCCACCTGGAGGAGGACGGAGGACATGAGCACCACCCACCGTTTACCAAGCTTGGTGCTTCCAGGGCAAGGTTTCCTTCAAAGTATCAGAGGGACACTCACAGACGCCAGCTGACACAGCTCCGGCTTCAGCCGGTCGAAGGCCTGCTGGAGGTTGTGGGGGTCATTCTTCTTGGGAATCAGCTTGAACTCCTTCTTTTCCCGAGGTTTAACGCGCAGGCGCAGGCCTTTCATCTGGTGCTCCAAACAGGACAGAGTCGTGTGCACGCTCTCCGTCTCATTGAACTGCACGATGGCGTACAACCCCTGTCAGAGCCAACAGACACAGCCACAGTGGGTTAATAGGTAGTGGATGCTACTCTGAGAGGCAAAACATAGCGTTAAATAAGACGTATCCACTCGCACGCGGCTGTCTAACCTTGTCTTTATCCATGATAACATCTGAGACATTCCCAAACTTCTGGAAGTACTCAGTTAAGTCAGTCTGGGATATTTCGGGCTTAATGCCACTAACAAACACGCTGTGCTCCTCCTGGGTCTTCCTGGTGGCCCGCACCGTCTTCAGCGTCTGATGCTTTCGCCCCTTCAAATGCTGATCCAGGCTCGGCTCTGCAGAAAAAACAAACATTGGAAATGCAGCAGGAAGTAAAGCCTTTCATCTGACTGATGCTGCAAGGAGCTCCTGGTTAGATGTCACATCCTGAGACAATAAGCTAAAGTAGAACTCATTTTTAACAAAAAACTAAAGAACAAACAGTAAACTGGCGAGATAGCATTTGCATAACAATGAAAGGAGCTTTAGAAATAAGTTGCCATGGAACGACTTATTTACTAATTGAGAAATAAATAGAATATTAGAAAACCACAGTTCAGAAGTGTCCAACATATGATAAAAACATGGAATTAAACCACTGAACCGTCATCAAGATGTAGAAAATCTCAGCTAATGGTTATCAGATACCACCCTGGCTGCACCTGGCCTGTTATCTGGGGTAAAAAGTTCAGCTAAATGTGTTACCACAAATATTACCATCTGAAACTCTAAGGGACCACGTTTTAGCATCCAATTCATATTACAAGCAACAGAAATATATGGAGATTACTATCCTATATAGATATTGATGTTGACATGCTGGTACAGTGGGTATGTTTTTTTAAAATAAGCAGTAAGAAAGAACTTCCTCAATAAAGAATACATTTGTGGGTAAGTATGTGAGAAGTAACGAGGGACAAAATGTACCAAAGGTATTACATATGCAAAGGTACCAACACGCCGGGAAAAAGTTGATCAAATCCAGCCGAACTGCATTAAACTTTTCGCGCTGCTAAGTTAGCTGACATTCCTCACCGTTGGGTAAGTTGACCTTGCAGAGGGTGCAGTGGAACCCTCTGGGTGTCGTTTGTATGTCACTGTCTGATGACATTGTGGTTAAAAAATACGGGAAATAAACCAAAGTAAATGTGCGGCAGGTAAAGTTCGCGGACGGCCGTCGTCCATGCGCCTCTCAAATCTCCCTCCAGCGTTCGAGCTCCGTCCAGTCCGCCTCCAAATGTTGTCCGGGTGGTACTCGTGCTCCGGCTCAAAGCGTTCCCGTTGGTAAAGCGGGTGTTATTTTGCCGTCGTTTAATCAGAACACGAAGAAACCGTTTGCTCTAATTTATCATAACTGACGTGTTTAACATTAAATACGCAATTAGTGACTTTGCTTGGACTCGGCTAAGGGAAATCTTGACCCTGTCTTCTTTTAGTACTAAACATTTACGTCAGTAAAATAATCGATTTAGGTTTGATACGAATGTACATTACACTTTTAAGAGAGGAATCTGCTTATTTTTCCAGCAGCCATGTAGGTCATATAAACAGTGCAGCTCTCTGAATTTGATGTTTTAAATACTTACTTGTTTACACCATAAAGGCCTGTTACCTGTAGGAAAAGCTGTATGTAAAAGTATCCAGGCAATGCTGAGAAACAAAACAATCACCCATCTTTTCTTTGTAGTAAAAAAATTTAATAAACTTTTTTTCCCTCCAACAATAAAATTTCGACAATTCTGTTAAGAATAACGTACAACTTATCCCAAAAAATAAAAAAAGAAGTAATAAAACAATAATCCCTGCTGTACTGGGGCAAAAAGCAGTGCTTCATTTTCAGTCGTTTAAAACTTCTCACTACAATGTCTTAAAATAAAAGAACAACAAAACGAGTACAAAAAACAGAAGGAGGGAACAGTCGTTGTGATGAGGTCTATATATAATCTGCATCTATTTCTTAGTGGCTCTTCCTCGTCGGGTTCTGGGCAGCGGGGGCTCTGCCGGCGGGTCGGCCGGCCTGGCTGCCCGCCGGCCTCTCTTTGCAGGCGGAGCTTCATCTGAGAGGGGATCCTCTTCAGGTCTGCCGGCGTCCTCAGAAGTGGCTTTGCTTTCGGCATCGACTTGGTTTGCAGTTTTCTGCTTCCTCCCCCGGACGGCCTTAACCGGTGTGGCTTTTGGAATGTGAACTTCTTCCAGGTCTGACTTCCACTTGACGGACCTTTTGGACTTGGTCGTGTCCTGGGCAGAGGCTTCGCTTGACCCTTCAGCGGGGTGGTCTTGGCCGGCGGCTGATGAGGGTTTAGCTCCTCGTCTCCCCCGGGCTGCAGGCTGGACTGGAGCCGGCTCTGCCGTGGCTTCTTCCGGGGTCTCCTGAGGAGGAGGAGCTGCCCCTTGGCGTGACCTCTTTGCTGGAGTGGACAGTGGAAGTTCTTCTTTTGCTTTAGTTTTGATCCCCTTTGCTCGGTTGGGTTTCAGGACCTGTTCGGGACCTTCGGCTGGTTCCTCTGGGACCCGGGTGTTTTTCCTCCCTCGCTTGGGTTTGTCTGTGGACCCCACATCTTGGGGCTCGGTGGGCTCCACCGGTGCGACGGCCTCAGCCTCTGCTTTTGCTTTGCGCCCGCCCCGTCGGGGCTTTGGAGCTTGTTCACTCGTGCCAAGTGGGGCTTCTGCCTTCTCTGGAGGAACCATCTTAGATGTTACGACCTCTTCTGCTGGTTCTACAGCCTGTTCGTTGGACTTATCAGCCTCCTCTGAAGCGGTGTCCCTTTCCTCCTCCTCGGGTTTGGCATGTCTTCCCCTTTTTGCCCTGACTGGGGGTACAGACAGCTGCTTGGCCTCCACCTCCTCATTTGGCTCTACAGCAGCGGGCTTAGCCTTTCTCCCTCTCTGGGGTTTCCCAACACTGGGCTGTTCGGGTTCAGCATTCAGGGTTTTCTCCGGCTCACAGGGTGTAGCTTTGGCTCTTCTCCCTCTGAGTGGCTTGGAGACCACTTCTTCTGCTGGGGCCACACTGATGGCCTCTGCCCGAGGAGCAGCAGCCTCAGAGGAAACCTCTGTTGCTGCTTGGGTTTCTGCCGCTGAGTGATCTGGGGCGCTTTCCTGAGACTTTGCATGTCTGCTTCTGGCGGGCTGTTTGACAGCTGGGGGCGCTGCAGCCTCCGCTCTCCTCCCTCTTCCTCCTCTGACCTGAGCTGGGGCCACGGGCTCGTTTGTGGCCTGGTGTTTGTCCTCCTCTTCTTTAGGTTCCACCTGTTTGGCTCTCCTGCCTCTTGTGGGTCTCTTCTGAGGTATGGCTGAGCTGGTTTCTGTCCCTGCATCCTGTGCCTGGACACAAACCTCTGCGGTATCTGAAGCCTCCTCAGTTCCCACTGGCTGGTCCCCGTCGACCTGGCCTGCATCTGATTTTGAAACAATGAATGGGAGGGCGTTAATACGTCTACCCGTGTCAGTTCTGCCATGTCCTACTTTGTCCCAAATTAAACATAACTACAAACTACAGGAGGTGACTCACCTTCTGCTACGTCAGCAGCTGGAACCTCTGCGCTTTCCTCCTGTTGGGCTGCTTTGGCCTTCCTCCCTCTCCTGGGCTTCAGCTCAGCCCTCTCTGGGACCTCGTCGGCCTGAGGTTGACTTTCAGGTTCTGGGACGGCTTCAGGGACCTTTTTGGCACTTCTTCCTCTTTTGGGCTGGGGAGCAGCCTCACTTGTCTGAGGGAGGCTCTCCTTCACCGCTGGCTCCACATCCTGGCTCTGGGTGCTTCCCGCGTTTGCGCCTCTGGTCCTGAGTCTGACAGCAGGTGGCGCTGCAGCCTCGGCTTTCTTCCCCCGCCGTGCTCTGAGCGGGGCGGCGGCAGCGGGAACTTCAGAGGCCTCCACTCTGTCTGCAGCCTTGACGGGGTTCGCCCTTCTTCCTCGAGCGGCTTTCTTCTGAGGGCTGGGCTCTGAGGCCGCGGGCACCTCGCCTGCACCGTCCACTTTGGATTCAGTCGGGAGAGCCTCCACGCCATGCCATGCTTCATCGTTACCGCATTCACTCGGAACTTCTAGGGTGCCATCGGGGACGACTTCATTAGCATCTGCTTCTACTACGAGAGGGAGAGAAAGAAACCATTTATAAAAAAGTTAAGTTATATTTTGAATCAAAAACGGTTCAGACTATGAGAGACAGGAAAATGGATCATTTGAATGTTATTCTATTAAATGTAACCTTTTGCTTCTTGGACGCCACAATTCACATGCATTGGAGCTTCATCCTGTAAGAGAGGAAGGAAAAAGGAAGTAAGCATCTCTGTGGAAATAAAAATAAAGACAACACATTTGTGTGTTCTACTAAAAAGGCAGTGGATCACAATCACCCTGTAGTTCTGGTCTCGCACTCTCACACACACACACTCTGCTTCAAGCGTCACCTTGTTTGGCTCCAGTTGACATGAGAGCTCAGCCTCCGGCTCGGCCATTAGCTCCTGGAGTCCCTCGAAGTCCTCCACAGGTGGATTGCCCTTCACCCTGGGAGATTTCATCAGCCTCCTCAGGCCGAAGTGCTCCTCCACGGGCTGGCTCTTCTGTTTGGGGGTTCTCAACAGCCTCTTCGTCCCGACCGCGTCCTCTGCTGCCTGTCCCCTGAAATCTGTGAGGCAGACGGTTGGAGACATGCGTGAGCCGGGCGTTTTCACTGCTGAGTCTTCGGGCGGGCTGGCAGACGCTGGTGTCTGAAGAAGCTCCATGGCGACGTCTGAGCCCTCTTCGCTGAGCTCGCTGCGTCCCGGGGTCTTAAAAATTCTTTTGACTCCGGTCAGACACTCCTGTGGCTCAGGCTTCTGTTTGGGAGTCATCAGAAGTTTGCCTCTGATGTCCTCAATGGGCTCGGCCTTCTGTCTCGGGGTCTTCATGATCCTCTTGACTCCGGTCAGACATTCTGGCTGCTCCGCTTTCTGCCTGGGGGTTTTCAGAAGCTTTCCTCTCAGGTCCTCAATGGGCTCAGCCTTCTGTCTCGGGGTCTTCATGATCCTCCTGACTCCGGTCAGACACTCGGGTAAGTCTGGCTTCTGTTTGGGGGTAGTTACAGCCGTTTTCCTCGAATCCTCAGGATGCTGCTCGCTAGACTCTGACTGAGCTTCCACGGTGGGGGTGTCACTGATAAAACTCGACTCTTGGTCTCCATCAAGGAGGCGTTGGACCGCTTCACTGCTGTATGTTCTACTCTTCACTGTGGATGCAGCACTCAGTGGAGACACCATCATCTCATCTGGGAGGGAAAAAGAAAAAAAAACAAAACATAAATTTTTCTAATGTGATGTCCTTACAAGATGATGCTAAATAAAAGAAAAAAAAGACACCAGCCTCAATGATTGAGTGGAATGAACCAACTCTTAGTCTTGCTATTCTAAAAGCACTAGATGAACACTGTACCTGGCTCCTCTGGTGTGTTCAGCACTGACGGTTCCATCACAGATGTGCTCTGACCGCTCACCGGTGTCTTTGCGGAACTGCTCTCACTGATCAAAGATCGCCTTTTCCTCTCATTTGCCGGAGTTTTAAACATCTCGGAAATGCCTTAATGACCAAAACAAGAGATAATCAGCCACAAAACCTGAGTCCAGGATAAATCATAGCTATGTCTCCACCATTCGTCAGAACAGATGAGATCAGGGGAACTCACCAGACAAGTCCTCGTCCATTTTCATGTTCTTTTTGAAGAGTGCTGTGTTGGCGACCACCCTGGGCGCTGCCCCCATGGGACAGGCGACTGTTCTTTTGTGAGCTCTGCCCACAACGATGGTGGCGGGGGACTCTGCGTGCCCAGTGCTCACATGGCCCGCCAGCTTCCTGGCAGGAGTCTGACACATTGAGAAAGATCGATTTCAGTTTATGAACATGCAAACCTTTATCAGCAGAAATACAGCAACCCTCTCGGGCTGTGAGGTGATACAATACATTTTATTTAAACACATTATGACACCAGCCAGTTTAGTTTAAAAAAAAGACAGACGGACTCAAACAAATAACCAGAAGTACTGACCTGGGACTTGGGGACAAGCTTCTTTGCTGTCTTCTGGGTGATCCTTTTCTTTGTTGGAAGCACAACAGGAGCCTTACTCTTTCCAAATTTAACAATGTCCACCCAGGAATTCATGACTGGAAGGGGTTTAAAAACAAATAAATAAAATAATTCAGTCATCTTGGGGCTTGTATATAAAAAATTATCATACGGGCTTTGATAGAATCCCAAGGGGGGGGGGGGGTCATTTCCATCTGTGTTTTGCTCTACACGCAAAAACAGATTTAAAACACAAACCTACCCTTGATGGATGCCCGTGAGACGCCACTTCTCCTCTGCAGTGCCTTCACTGCACTCTTGGCGACACCTGGGGTCTTCTTGGAGGCGCTCTTCATGCTCTTCCTCTTCAGGCGCAGCTGCGGGGTGGCGGTGGGCGCGGGCTCCTGCTCGGCGGCGGCCTCCGTGGCGGGAGAGGGGGTGCTGATGCGGGACACGGAGAAGCGGCCCTGCACCGTTGGTGTCTGGATTCCCGAATTGGAGGGGGTTTTATCCGACGTCGCACCGGTCACAGAGGTGGGACTCGACATGGCCAGAGAAGACCTCCTTTTGCTCTTGGGAGAACCTCTGGAAGCCTCGGTTTTAGGCTGCTCACTGGCCTTAGGAGTTCCCACTTTGTTTGTGGAGGGAGATGCTGCTTTGGGAGAGGAGGATCTGGACTTGGGTGACTTCTTTGCAGGGGAGGCTGGTTTGGGAGAGGGAGACTTAGATTTTGGCAGCTTTTGCCCTGGGGGAGTCTTGGGAGAAGCACTCTGGGTCTTTGGTGGTTTCTTAGGAGACGGAGAACTCTTTTTTACAGGACTCTGCTCCTACAAAGACACAAAATATACTTTTAGGAAGTGTTCACACCACATTTCAGATACACATGTGCATCGTTTGTCTCTTACTTTCAGTAAGCCAATCACAGAAACCCGCCTCAGGAGGGCCTGCTTGGTCTTAAAAAGTGACAAACTCCTCCGTGGAGTCGCTCCCTTGCGCAGCGGGGAGTCCGGAGGCAGCCGCTTGTCAAACAACTCTGGGCTCAGATGAGTCCCAAAGGAAACGCGTTTCCTCTTCATTGGCTGCGTTGGCAAATCTGTTCCAAGCTCTCCACTCTTACGCTTTTTGGACTCTGAAAAGGTTTGGAAAATATAAAGAATTACTTATTACACTGACGTAACACTGAAGTATTAAAATACTTTGAAAAAAAGAGCTCAGAATCGTGGTAAAACCTTTTTCAGCTTTTTCTGCGTTTCTTGGTGACAGTCTTCGAGGATTCTCGCTTTTGGGAGCCGTCTCCGGCTCCTCTTCCTGTCCTTTACCCGCAGCAGGCCTCGCCGGTGTGGCTTCCTTGCTCCTCCTTCTCTTGGGTGACTTGGGCGTCTGAGTGGAGATTTGCTCAATAGCCTCACTCACGGTGAATCTTTGAGGGGTTCCGCTGTTTCTTCTACGCGGCGAAGGCACTCCAGACTTGTCTGCTTCCTGCCCAGCTTCTTCGGCTCTGGATCCGTCCACATCAGCAGAAGGAACCTTGAAGAGCGGGGCCTGCTTCTTTACAGACATCGGGGTCCCACAGACTTTACCATCCTCTCTTTGGGGAGTGAAGGCAGCAGGTTTCTTCCGGACTGAAGCGGGTCCCGGAGTGCAGAACCTTGAGGAGGGCGTCTGGACCACGCTGATGGAGGATGTGCGGGGGGTTTTGACATCCAGGGATTTCTTTATCATTTGATACAGATCGCCAAAGGGAGAGTTTGTCTGGTTGGTTTGCAGCTGGTCGTCATCTTTACTGGACTCCATCTCCAGAGTTTTCTCAAGGGAACGCTGAATGTTGTCATGGTTTCCTCCATCTTTGAGATGAGGGTCTGAAAACATTCATAATGATAATTTGGTATTTAGGTTTCTACCGATTAAGTGGTTTAGATTTTATGAAAAAAATATATACATCTTTTTTTTTTTTTTTTTAACCTTGGCCTTGAAGACAGTTTGTTTGTTTTGTAGATATCTTATATTTTGTAACGTATGTTTTTTTTTTTTTAAATTGTTAACTGGAGAAAAGACACATTGGATCTTGATAGAATAATTAAATTCACTATTATACTATTTCACCTGAGGATACTTCAGAGATCCTCTTCTCTCCTTTTGTGACAATAACCGTGTCCCCAACTTGGTCTTGAAGAACCTACAAATAAGATCAATCTATTAACACACACACTTGAACAAACTCATTCAGCAAATTAAGTCATCCTAAAACATGTTAGTTACTTTGAGGGTTTCAGCTTTGCCTCCGTGTGAAGATCTCTTCTTTGGTGTGGGTGCTGGTGGGTACTCAAACCTGCAAAGTCAGCAGAACATTAGATCTTATAAAAACTACCCTTGCATACAGATACAGGCATAGGATAGGGCAGAATGTGTGATCACGAAAGTTAGAGAATTAAAGGCAAGTGAGTAAATTCCAAACTCACCTAAAAGAGCGATCAATAATGGTTATCACATCTCCATGTTTCAAACGCTCAGATTGCTGCAGAGCCTTTCCATTCACACGTGTTGGATTAGATGAGCTTAGATTAGTCAAAATGACCTAGAAGGGGACAAAGGTTCACATCTTACAATGTCACTGTGAATGATGTCTTACTCCTCTCAATATGAGCAATGCCAATTTCAACAGAAAGCGGTTCAGACATAAATACAAAGCAGGTTTTGTTACCTCTTTATTTTCATTTAGGTCGATTTTGCAATGTTCTTTGGAGACATGAGGAAGTTGAATCCGAATGTCACAGTCAGGCTTCCTGCAGGGGGATGAAAAAGCCATTAAAAGACATGGAAATGTTGTCCTGATCTAATAAAAAAAAAAAGTGGTTGTTCATAACTAAAGCAAGGATGAATCTTTAGAATGTGAGAAAAGGCCTGAATCAGTGGGTTAAACTTATATTAGTCTAGTATATGTCAGAATGGGAGCAGAAGGGTAAAAATGGACGTCATCAACTCGAAGGTCCTCCTCCATGTAAAGAGCCTTGAGGCCCCTTCAAGGCCAACGTCAAAAAATAGGTTTCTCTAAAACATGTACCATACTTCTAGTTTTGAGGATAAAAACACAAATATGGAACTTATTTAATAAAATTCACCCAAAACGTGGCACTAAAAACAAAACACTCTGAAAGCATGCATGTGCTTTTCTCACCTTCCAAACAAACACGTTGCAGTAAGAGGAAATTCCGTCCCGTCTCCTCCGCTCCTCTTTATCACCACTATTTTTCCGTGGAGTGGCATTTTCTCAACGTTACCTGACAACACCCGAGAAAGGTGACAGAGTGGTGTCAAAACTGGGATTAAGTAACATTCAGTGTCTCATTAGAAAAGGGGAAGTCAATGTAGCGAACAACAGGGGGGGGGTTAGAAATTTTTTGCGTACGTTAAAACATTAATGACAAATCTGCGAAAGCCCACGTGCAATGTGGCCTCCACCGTTACATTATAACATAGCCAAAAACAGTATCTAAATAAATATCCTTGAGTGAACCGACATGGTTTGTTTTCGATTACACTTACATACCTATAAGTAATTCTACATAAAGCTTGCCACGGCGTCACAAATTTCAAACAGACGAAAAACGTAACGTTTAACCGGAATTATCGGTGGACCTTTACCTTATTTCCGTTCAAAGATACATCAACTGCTAGCAATCCATAAACGTAAGCCGGGATGTTACAAAGAGGAGTTAAAACTATTATATCATGTCACATTAAAAGCCGACGCATTTAACTCAACTAACAACGACTATCTAACGAAGCGAACGAGGTTCCCTGTCGACTATCCTGTACTCCTGAGAAGTGGAAGTGCTGTGGTATTACTCCGCCAACCTGTGCACACACAATAAATTTTCAATACTATTTGGGTTAAGTGATACTTCTAGTATGTATTATTTGCATTATTTTGCGTTAGGGAGTTTAAAATTTCAACGTGATTGTCTGAATCAAATAGTACTTGTTTTTAAACAAAGGGAACTATATTGTTTACTAAATTTGCGGAGCAATATCAGTTCAGTGAGGCTGTCGTAGTTTGAAAATATTCGAAATTCCGCGCGAAGGGTTGTGATTGGCTTGACGTCATGTTCTTGTAAACGAGGGCGGGGCGCTGTAGTGTAGAGTGGACTGAGGTTCGCGCACGTGCTCGATTTTGAGTCTGTGTATTTTAAATTGCATTTAAAAAAATAAAGTCACATGCAGATATTTATACACAGGCTTTTTTGCAGGGTTGATCTCATTGATCCTAACAATGTAAATACAAAATGACCCAAGCCCATTAAAACCTGGAAAGAAAAATCTTGGTCCTTACGATCAGGTCAATTTAGGTATTTATGTATTTTGCGTAATAAAGCAAGATTTAGTTTCCATTTTCATCCATCCATTATCGTTACCGCTTATTCCCTAATGGGGTCGCGGGGAGAACTGGAGCCTATCCCAGTGCTCAATGGGCGAGAGGCGGAAATGGAAATGAATTCTAGCTATTTAAAAACGAGTATGCCAATATTTGACAACCGCAAAAGAAAATAGTTGAAACAAAAGTATTGAGGTACAGCAACTCTGTAGAGGTGAAAATTGGGAAGCAAAATTTAATGTGGAGTAAATTGTTTTCAAACTAGTAACGTTTACTGTACTTCTTGTTACTTGACCCGATTTTGCAGATTTTTCTGATCATCAACATACGGATGATCATATCTGTAATGCATTTGTAATGCAAGCTATGTAGTTTGAATGCATCTCTCTCATCATCTATAACCACTGCAGGTAAAAAAAAAAAGCTTCAGTTAAGACTATTTTCTTCTGAAAAAGTCATACAACTGTGTGGGTGGCAAGACATTTGAAGTTCAGGAATATTCCCTTTTGGCAGCAGCATTTCTGTAACCCCTGTAAACCAGCTCAGCTGAGTTTGAGTGATAAGTTTGAGCAGATTGTATTTTATTCCTTTAAATACAGCTTTAAAGACACATTCCATTTATGAATGAGAAGATTTAAGTCTAATGTAGCCTTAAAGCATATTTTTAAAAGAGCAAAACAATAATTTGATCAAGTACATCCAGCGGTACTTCATTTAAGTATATTAGCAGGAATACATTAAATAAAGGAAGGGTGGTGGTGGGGGGGTGGGGTCAATTCCCTTGCAAATGAAAAGTTATTCAGAAAAATTGAAGAAAGAACAGCGCACACACAGACAAGGTAATTATTAAATGTTGGTTTTTATTTTTTCATCTTTTTTGTTTTTTTTTCTTCTTTTTTTCCAAAGTTCTTTATAATCTTGACAAAATTGCAACATATTTCATACTTTTCATTTTGATGGTGTGTCTCTTTCTATTCCAGATTAGCTGTGGCGGGAAAACTTGTGCGCTGTTCTGGACAGGTTACAACCTAAAAGATAAAAGCAGCCTTTTCCTGTACAAATAAAAAGTACACGTGAATCAGAGAGACTCCACACTGGCTTCCTATATTGCAACGCTGCTGCAAAGCTCAGGGTCCAAGTCTCTCTGCACAAGTCCTCGGTCTGCCAGACCTAACAAAAAGAGGGTGGTTGGAGAAAAATTCAGGGGCTCAGTAGCAGAAGTGTGTACACATGTGCATTTGTGATTGGAGGCTTAGGGGTTGCATCACAGAACATAAACATAACGGGCCAAGCACACAAAAATGATTCCTTCCTGAGACATTGGTGCATTTACAGTAATGATGGTCCAGATGACATGTATTAATGGTGAAGGCGTTTTGGTGTAAAGTGAGTCACAGGGCTCTAGATCCAACAAAGTCACATGTTTGATTTTACAAAAGATTTCCAACTATGGGTTTCATCATGTTTTGGGACCCTAGCTTACCTGCCTCAGCTTTGACAGAGCCGAGGAACTACAATCTAGTCGTCTCCCATCCTTAACAGGTGGATCCCCTTAGAAGGTACCAATGATGACAGGTGTTTAATACACAGTTTATACACCAGTTCCCACATTGTAACTCTGTGATTGCTGAGCTGAGCCGAGCTTGCCAGGCTGCAGATGGCGTCCGACTCACCATTAACTTTTTTTTTTTCCTGCTACATGTCCAAAAAGCTACGCCCCGACAGGAGTGCTACTTTGTTATCTACTGCACATGAAAGAAATTGAAAACAAAAGGGGGAGGAGGTTTTTCGATTGTTTGTGAAAGCCACATTCTGAACAGCCAGTGATTGGTGAAAGGTCTGTCCACTATTTAGCTGGACACACAAGACATGAAAGAACTTCCTTCAGTAAAATGTGCTCAAAAATGTATTTTCTTGATTCACAAACCTATAAACAAAAACACATAAATGGTATTAAAAAAAAAATCAGGTGAAGCCTAAAACTCTTCATAGTTTTAAAGAAATGAATACAGCTTATATACAAAAACTCAAAGGCTACTTAAAATACACCTTAATAATGAATCTTCATTAATTTGATTTCTTGAAAGGACCTGTGACCATATCATACAACAAAGTTCATACAATCAATATTTCATTCTTTTGGAACAAAAAAGAAAAAGGCAAACAGATCCAACCTGGAATAGTGGGTGATATTCATCGTTTTCTGTGCACATTTGTGTATTTGTGTTTGCATGTATAGACTTTGAGAGAAAAATTCAACATCTTTTGCATTTCATTAATTATAATAATATACAAACATGAAACTGAAACGTCTCTCATTACTTTTGATAGGTATGAAAAGATTCAAATGGTGAGGGAGTACAACAATCTCTAATCTCAGCTCAGTAAACATGTCCTCATTTCAACCTGCAATGTGTTTAGGACATGCCGATCACAATAGTTCCTTAGTTTTTTTTCTATATATAATCATATATCTTTTTGTATGAAATCTGTTTGTTTTTTTTAAATTGGAAAAAAGAGGAAAAAGAGGGAAAGACCCGAGTCTTTGAGGGGTGGGGCTTTAACATGTCCCAGAGTTGCAGTCTGCCTCGTAGTACAACAACAACAACAAAAGAAAAGTGTCTGGTGTTCGTCAAATCAGTCTCTGTTCGATATCCTCCTCCGTTTATTTGTCCCATTGTCCCACACTCGTTCTCAGTTTCGTTTCCAAACGGGTCCCTGCTGCGCCCAGATTCGTTTCCATCCGTGGTTTTGAGAGAGGTGGAGAGGGCGAGAGCAGCGATGGAGGGGGGGGTGGAGGGAGGGTCATCAGCAGTGTTTACGGTGTGGTTTCTCAGAGTATCCCCGCTCTGGCCTCCCCCCCCCCCCGCATGTCTGTACAGTCTTCCTTAGTGAGCGCTGGCGGGTCAGGAGATGGGTACTGGTGTTGTGGGGGAGGAGGAGGTGTTCAGCAGTTACGGTCAGCGCCCTCCTCCTTTGCCCCCTTCTTGGGAACAGCAAAGGAGGAGGCAGGAACCAACGTGGAGATGGACGAGGGGACGAGGGTCCAGCCGCGGGTGGTCTACGGTGATTGCGTGGCCGGACTGCTTTGGGCAGAGCTGGGGGACAGGCTGGGGCTGCAGCTGCCCGGGGGCGCCCCGCTGGGCCGGCTGCCCGCGGCCCCGCTCTCCAGACCCTCCGAGTTCTCCAGCATCTCCTGGATGAGCGGCGGCATGGAGCCGGGGATCTCCATCTTCAGCGTGATGACGCGCTCCGCTCCTGCAAAGAGATTAGGACAGACGAGAAAACGTCAGCCACCAGAGGTATGGAGTTCACCCTGTCCTGGACTATCTATTTCAGTATGAACGAGGTGTAAAGCAAGTTAAACTAAACTAGCAACTATTGGCATTAATGCTGGCTGACAGCAGACCTTTAGCACTGATGCTTCGGAGGTCAGTGATCTTCATCAGCATCTTGGGGAACATATGTGGTTTGTGGGGTCTCCTCTTCCTTACATAAATCTTCAATGCCTCCAGGAGGGGCTCCTGAAGGATGTCCACCTTGTCCGCCTCCTCCAGGTCCTGTCGATCTGTGGAAATAGCAAAAAAAGAAAAGAAAAAAAAAACATTTAAATCTTTTGATCTCGTCCTGGTTGCCATGTCAATGGAGGGCGTGAAAGACATTTAGAAAAAAGGAGTTTGGTTGGCCCGATAAGACGAAATAAAGGCCGTCCCGTACCTCCGCACAGCAAACAGATGGCGCTCAGCAGCCCCGTCTCTGCGTCGTCCATCTCCAGAGGGAGGAGCTGGTTTGCGAATGCGAAAACCAGGTCGGTGAGGGGGCCGAAGCCTGCGTTGTGCATCTGGGTCCGGTTTAGCGTGAGCCCGTCTGAGAAGGTCATGGTGTCCTGCTCCGGGGTGTAGCGCGTGCAGATCCGCAGTATCTGTGGAGGGCAGAGGGAGCCTTCAACCCCCCGGTTCACGCCCACGCCCCCCCACCGGCCGGAGCTTTGCGGCCCTTACCAGGATGTCCAGGCAGGCGGCCTTGAGCAGAGTGATCTGGTCGGCGATGGTGAGCGTGGTGAAGCCCGGCAGCTGCTTGGCGAACTCCACCGTCTTTATGATGCATTTGGTGGAGAGCTCGCTGAACTTGTCCCACAGGTCTATGTCCAGGGACACGCGGCGCTCGGAGCTGTTACTCTGTACAAACGGAAACGTTCACGAGGCCAATTTAGTTTAGACGAGGGTAAAGATGAGGACTGTGAGGGATGAGTTTACACGGGGGACGCGCAGATGGCCGGTTTCACGCCACTGACCGTAGTGTATTTGCCCAGCTGGCAGAGAGAGGGGAACGTTTCCTGGTGCGCCTTGCGGACCCTGTCGATCATCTGCTCGGTGTCGGGACTCAGCACATAGCTCTCCGTGCACTCCTGCTTCTTCTCGTCCTTTTTCTTCTTGTTCCGATCGTTCCTCACCGCTGCACGGGGAGAAAAAAAACAGAGAATTATCTCATGACCGACTGCGACTCAGCATTTATTCACCGTCGTTTGAAAAACAGACAGAAACTGTGGCTGTACATAGTGGAGCACATGGTCTGCACATTTTATTCTACATACTGCCGCCTCCACACACACACACACATACACACACACAGAAGATGACTCAAAGCACAGGCTAAGACTGGAAGCGGAGTCCTCTCCAGGAAAGGATACTCTCTCCAGCCAGCAGCAGAAGCCCTAGTTTTTGTTATCAGACACTTAAAGATAAATGCTGTGAGACAGCTCTATCCAGGAAGGGCTTCGGTAATGGAGAGTGTGAGGGAGGACAGATTTTCAAAGGAAGCGGAGAAAAAAAAAAGAAAAGAGGATCGTTTCCCTCCGGGCGATCTGGCTGAGAGTAGTGTGCTCACCCCAAATGACAAAAAACACTAGGTGGGGCGATGCTTAGCATTGGAATCCCATTAGAAGCTTGATGTATTTCTCCCGGCCCATCCACGCTGGCTGTGACAAGGGTGTGTGTGTGTGTGCGTGTGTGGGGGCCGGGGGTGGATTGGGTGAGATGGGGTTAGGGTTGATAAATAGCGTTGGGGGATGGAGCTATCCATAAGGCTGACAAATTGCCACAACTTTCATTAGGGGTCCCAGCTAATCTAATAACATAATATGACAAATATCCCGCCTCTAATGGTTTTAAAGGGCCTGGCTGTGGAGCCCATAACAGAAAAAACCCTCCAGCTTCCTCTCTTTCACTCTCGCATCCCTCCTTCTTTTGGTTATACAAGAGGCTTCACGCTTTCTTCTGCATCTCCTCGATCCGCCCTGCATGGTTTTGCCTTAAATCACCCGCTGCTCCTCAGCTCTTCTCTGTCAGTTCTTCCATCTTTACCTGCCGTCGGGGGAAACCTGCACTCGCCTCTATCCACCGACCCCGGATCAGGGTTTCCTGGTCCTAACCCGAACCTTTGGCCGCTGACGGGCTGCTGGGAGATGGGCGTCTTTGACAGAGAGGCCTGGACCGCGGCCAAGCGGGGAAAGCTCTACTCTGTGCTGCTGCTCATTCATCAGCCCACAGACAGGCCTCCCTGCCAGGGAGAACATTAAAGGAAGGAGGAAGGCGGGGGCTGGAGGTCTGATCCAGCATTATGTTACTGCTAAGCACTGCTCGCCACAACAGGAACTGAGGAAAAGCCTGCTGTGATCACGGTAATGCGTTGCTTTTGGGCGCTTATCGACTCCCGGGAGGTAAGCCCGCGTTGTCGTTCAGACTGTTTTTAACGGACAGACACGACACCTTCAGCCTCCATTCAGGGGGATGATGTAATAACGGCCGGCTGAGGGGAAAGAACGTCCTGTCTGACCCGGCTCTGCTTTGAAGTCCGGTTATGTAAACTGTAGTAAACTGCCGGCCATATCCGGCCGGCCCCGGTTTGTGCCTCTGATTGGGAATCCGTGTTCCGTTTTTGCCATGGTGGGAGGGGCAGAGGGCTGCAAAACAGTCCATGTGCCATTAATTCACAAATAAAAGTGGGGCATCCCTAGTGCCCAGACATTACCCGCACTGACAAATTGGCAGCACAATCATAAGCCGCACAACACAATTTAATGAAGTCATTAAAGAACTATTAGGCACGACTGGCGATCTGTCATGGCGAATTGCCACATGCAATAAC